TAATATATACATTTATTTTATATTACATTACATAGGAAAATATCTAATATATACGTTTATGTTACATTACATGATATAGAGAAATATGTAATATATATATGTCTATGTTATGTTACAGTAACATATCATTTGAAATGTATCTAATATATAAATGATACATTCAAAGTTGCTGACATAGAGCCGTACCAGAACGTAACATTTACCTGTACAAATAATATTACATGTAACATTCATGACATTTGTGTAATATTAGATATATGTCTATGTTACATGCTGTGGTTTGCTGGGATATATACAGTGTCTTACAACCTCCATACAATATTTTAATAGCATATTCTAGAGACAAAATAGAGTAAAAAATTTTAATACAAAAATATCGAGGCTACAATAGTTTTTGAGTTATAAGTGATCAAAGTTTGCCAATAATATTGCGTAGAATTCGCGTCCTCAGGCTCGTAACTACATTTACACACGTACTGATCTGTCATCTGTTATTGCTGAGAGATAAAATAAATAAATTGATTTCTCCGCGCGATCAAAACAAAAATAAACTTCGTTTCTTAAATGTGTGAAAATATTAAGTTTATATTTCTATTTAAATATAATAATTAATCAATCATTTAAATTGTTATATATTTAAGAAAAAATTAAATATTTTACGTACAACATTTTTAGTTTGTTAATATCAGCCGTACATGGTATTCATACACATAAGAAACAATAAAATCAGCTGTGCAATAAAAATCAATATTACCTGATTTGTAAAATCAATGACAGATGACAGATCGGTACGCGTGTATGTGTAGTTACGGATCTGAGCGCGCGAGTTCTACGCGATATCATTGGCAAACTTTGATCGCTTATAATTCAAAAGCTATTGCAGCCTTAAAATTTTTATATTAGAATTTTTCGCTCTATTTTATCTCTAGAATACACTATTAAAGTATTGTACGAAGGTTGTAAGACACTGTGTATATAAACAAATAAAACATAGAAATATACATTAATTCTCTCTCTCGCTTACACTAGTGTAACGGAAATAAGAAGATGAGCGCGCGAGTTCTACGCGATATCATTGGCAAACTTTGATCGCTTATAATTCAAAAGCTATTGCAGCCTTAAAATTTTTATATTAGAATTTTTCGCTCTATTTTATCTCTAGAATACACTATTAGTATTGTACAAAGTATTGTACAAAGGTTGTAAGACACTCTGTATATAAACAAATAAAAAATAGAAATATACATTAATTCTCTCTCTCGCTTACACTAGTGTAACGGAAATAAGAAGATCGTTGTAATAATAGCGACGAGCAATTATAAAGGAGTCGTGTAAATAGCACGCGAGCAATTATTTTCTAATCTACGTGCGCGCCGACACTTGTCAAGAACTGGAACAAGCGGATATCTAGTTTTACTAGCCTCGCTTTGCAGCTTTCCCAAGCCTGTAGACAATGCAGGACACGTGACGCGATCACACTATTTCGCAGATAGTGCTAATTACCGCGGTTACATAAACTCTTAATTTGCTCCGCGCTATGTCAATATAATGTGCCGGCCAAGAATGACCGTAAGCTCATAATTTTTTCCCTCAAACACACACACACACGTATTGATCGATAGCTATTAACACGCGAGAAGCTCGTAGTTTATCCATAGCGCTGATAAGATAAACGTTACAATTAAGCGAGAGCGATCAAAAATATATAATAAAGATTTGTCACAAAGAATTATTTTAATTAAAAATTATTTACCTCCAGTGTCATAATAAACGATTCCATCACACCGGAATTTTTGCGCCAGAGCTTTTCCAACGCGCGCTCGCGTATCCGCCGATCTGAAGAATATACGTGTAAAACAATAAATAAATTTATATATAGCATCTTTTTTTTTATATCAAATTTATAAATCATAATTTATATTCGTAGCGCCAGATGTGATATTGACTTGCCAAGATCGGCCTTGACAAACATATGATAATATGTTCTTTCAGAATTCAGGGATACATTGGCACGACACTTGGGTATTCTTACACCAAACTTGACGTAGTGCCAATTGAAATCAATGTCACGAACAATGTTCATAAAATTTACATTATGTTAAATCAATGCTCTTATGACGGCAAATATCGTTACATATTTGCACTGTAATCATACAAAATAATACGAATCTTCGCTTCTGATGTCATAATAGAAATATAGTTATGGAAGCGTGACCTATAAAACGAAAATTTAGTTAGAACGTTTATAAAGGTATCTAAAATTATGTCGCAAAACTTCAATTGCAATAAAGTACAATGTGCAAACTAAAATCCGACTGCAGTAAATACCGCGACTCGCGGAAATACCAGCCAGAAAGATTTGCCAGCCCTTATCAAATTGGCGCGTTTTCAATGCGCTCGGCGCGATTCCGAGTATGTATCATTCGGAGTCATAGGTTCCCTGGACGACGGCCAACCGGTCTGTCATCAGCCGAAATTCATTACGCAATCGACTAACAGGCGGTTCTCCTACTCTCAAATAACGAACGGTAAAGTGGCCGACTACTCTGTTTGCACACCTGTTCGCAAGTTGTCCAAAGATCCGGAACTGATTGGCGCAAATTAACACTTGACAAACATACGCGATAACGTAACAACAATATTAATTAGAGTACAAATAGTGAAAATAAACAGATAATTAATAATATTGAAAAACATTTTATAGAGTAATTTATATCGGAAATAAAAATTCGAGTCTCATTATTAACATTGCGTGACATATTTGTTAATTTCCGCGAGTCTCTCTGACGTGGATATTCGTTGTTTTGCTAAAAATTTCATACGTCTCATGTTCGTTTGATTTAAGTTTTACACCAGCGGACTTATAATAATAACATGATGGTGCATAAGACGCGGATAGGGAAGGAAATCGTTTCTTCGCGAAGGGATCACACGGAGAATGATAGATCGCGCAAGTTCCATCCTTGATTTCGCGTGCTCGTGCCGAGAGTAATGATATACCGTCACGAATTCCTCCCTCAAGTGTCCAATCTCTCCCTCAATCCGTTTAAAACTTTATTGCCGCGGTTCGCGCGCAATCCGTATACGCTTATCGTACGGCAACGTTAAGGGAGACGACACGCGATGCGAAACGCTAATGAGAGAGGAAATTACATCGGCATTCGATATAATCGAAACGGAGATCTGGTATTATTATAAAAGAAAGCTTGTACTTCTCTGTCGTCGAAATAAAATTCATGAAATGTTATTCGGGAACCGAGAAGCGATCAAGAAACTCGCGTTATTGCCACATTAAATGCCAGAGCGTAGAAGAAGGAAACGCAAATTGGCACGAGACGAGAGAATTCCCCCAGAGACGCAGAATTATACCACATCTGACGCGAGACGGAAGATTTTCTAGAGTAACGTACCTGACGAAGTGACACGTGCGTGAATCTTGGCCGCGATCGCCCTGAGCGCGTCGCCTGCCTCCTGCGGTTTAGCCGCGTGAGTTCGGAGCTTCTCCAACAGCGCATCGTTCACAGCCTCGTCCGCACTTTTATTACCCGCTGACATCACACTAAACCGCACCGCAAAACAACGAGAAATGTCATTTACTCTCCTCAGTAAGCAGAAATGAGCTGTTCGATCGAGCTGCGTCGTAAAATGCAGAAACTAATGAGAAGCCATCTTTTTCTCGCGGGTATCGGTCTACTGCGAAATAAAAATGTCAAACTTGCAAAAGCGAGACTTTTGTCTACGATGATGAATGGGACGCAAGGATTAGAGGCTGCGAGCTAACGTTTCACGATTGCCTTACGGTACCTGAAAAGAATGACCAATGATTACTTTCTCGTATAAGATAGATAACACGAAAGGGAGGATATTGAGAAAACTCCGGAAAGAGAAAGATATAATTAGAGAAAATAGAAAAAGGCAGGTTTAAATAAGTTAGTCTTAGAAGAATAAGAGGAATGAATGTGGATATGTAAGGAATGAATGAATAAGAAATTTTGTAAACCAAGTTCACTTCTTGGCAAAAGCTAAAGTTAAATAAAGATTGATTGATTGATTACTTTCTCCTATACAAAAAATGACATCGTGTTGTGTGCTTTCTCGTAGAATCTCGATCAATATTATATCTAACTCGTCTTAAAATCTACCAATATAGGGCAGAGATAAAAGCAATAATTTTTATTACGGCGAGGCGGACAATGATGTTTCCTTGCGCATTGTCAGCAATGCGACGAGCTGTTTGCCGCATCAATGAATCCCCTGATATTGGCTTTCGGCCAATAGCAGTCGGAAATACTATTAATCACGATTTGCAATCAGCTGGTCGCCGTAAGTCAGTGTCGCGGGAATTAAAGTCAACCATTGGAGAACCGACGCGCATCGGAGCCAAGGTTAATTAACGCAGGTAAAATGTGACATTCCGAAATAATCGCCCCGAGTTGCGCGATCTCGAGATAAACGGCTCGAAGAATCTTATTATCGAATAATTAGGCGTCCAACCGCTTATTAACCAGCAACGTTGTCATATTAAAAAATATTCAGTTTGGCTACATTTACTTGAGATGATGACAAAAGTATCTTTTGAAATTATTTCTACATTCTGTCACTTTACTCGTCTACTCGTCGTAAACTCAGATGAACAGTTTTATTGCGTACAATTAACACTAGCTACATATGAAATATTCATAAGCAACTAAAAGCAAGAGATATCGTGCAAAATATTCTATGCAAAGCTGCTTTAATTTTCTTCTTGAACAGGCAGATACAAAAATAAGAACAAAAAGATTGATAATATGAGATATTTATTGTCAGCTCACAAAATACAAAATTTCTAATTATATGCCTTTTGCAATCTATACAGTGTGTAATTCAAGACATGTATACATCCTCAAAGGATTAAAGCAAAATGTGTGAATTATTGCATTAAGCGTTGCATCGGCGCGTTAACAAGAAAAGCCGCAACGATTAAAAAATTTCTTCAGCTTATTAAACGAAATAATTAATGAACATCATAATTCTGTAAGTTCCTTTAGTGATAAACAATTACTGCAAATGTTCGATATTTGCATTCACTAATGCTATCCCCTTAATTGGGACGTAAATACCGTCCGAAGCATATAACAATAAATCGTCACGCCGATGATATGTCAAACCGATGCAACTTGAACGAAAAATATCAAATAAGATAAATTCAGCACGTGCACGCAAATATATACGAGCAGGATTATTATTCATCTCGATTTATTACCGATTCGCACGAGATTGGCTAAAGGTACTTAAACTAATATAAAGCGTATAATCAGATATATTTTATAATTATAATAAATGAAGCTATTAATCAATTTTAATGCCGCTTAAGTTTTCAAACTCTCTTAAAGCAAGTTTATTTTAACGATTTTCATTGATATAAAGGAGTAAAAATAAAAGCTTTTGACTTTACATATAAATTTAGCAGGTTGTCAGAGAAATATATCGAAATAAATATCTTGAACAAAATATTGTACGACCACGTGTCTGCAAACGAAAGCGCGAGTAATCGCGACGACGATGATAACCGGAAACAGCGAACACGCATATACACACATACACACGAAACACACGATTCTGTCCTCTAGGCTCTTTACTCTTCCTGCTGCACGTTGGCTGTGTTCTTATCGTCTGATTGCATTGTCGTCATCAGCCTTTGATTCTCCTTGTCAAACTTCTCCGATGCACCTTTCATACTTTTCCCTTTAATTAACGAAGCGAGACTTGGTATCGCGACTGTCTTAAGAAAGCAGGAAGGAATAAAATTTACACGAGACCTTCCGAGGTTTTTTGAGATGATGATCGCGTTTCGGCGGGGAACAAGAAACCTTTGAGACGCTCTTTTCTCGAAATTTGCGAAACGATTCTCGCGCTTTGCTACTCCGAGACGGTTTGACGTTTCTGCCTGCCAAAACTATGTTTAAAAGCAAGCAGCGCACACGCACACACGAGGATCCCATTTATTTTTAGCGACGCGACCGCGCTTTCCGAAAATCGCGCCCTCCCTTTCTCCCATCCGTGATAGCACCCTCACATCTTCCAGCACTTCGGCGTCATCGACCGATGCGCCGCAATGCAAATTTTCGGCGATAAGATAATGAACAGAATTTTTCTTACTTCTTCGAAGAAAACGAGATAATATTGTTGGAAAATTTGGCTTAAATTTAACATGTGTCGCATGTCCCAAACGACCCACACAAATATTTGTATTAATTTAACATAATATAGATATGTTAAATATGATAATACTAATACTATGTTAATATTTCAATACAAAATGAATGCAAACTTTATAGTAATTTGAAATAAATTTTGTGTAAAATCAACATATTTTTAATGATAAAATTAACTTGGAAAAATATTATTGACGGTCTGTAGTCATTTTCACTCCTATTATAGAATAAAATCAACATCTTTTTTCTGTAAATTTTAATAGATCAATCCTGTCACTAATAATACGAAACATATCTATTGTGTAAAATTAAAAATATATGCACATTGTGTTATTTTTACACTGTTTTTAGTTGATTTAATAATATAATTTAACATTTGAGTTCAATTAACACAATAGCAATATGTTAAATTAACATATAAATGTGTTAAAATATTTAACACAAAAATTTTAACCGGCATATTTTATTAGAAAAAAAAATGCTTGCATAATTTAATAATATAATTTAACATTTGAGTTCAATTAACACAATAGCAATATGTTAAATTAACACATGAACGTGTTAAATATTTAACATAAAAATTTTAACCGGCATATTTTTTAAGAAAAAAAAACACAAATTTTCCAACAGTGGATGAATCATTTTATTAGAAAAAAAAAATGCTTGCATCTTTTATAATACAATAAAACATTTTCGTGTTTATAAATTAATTTTCCTGGAACACAGCAGAAAATATAGATGCATATTTCCAGAATTATATAATTTTCAAAATAAAACATTATCTGATGGAACAAGCATCTAGCTTTGAAATCTTTCCGCAACGTCAGGATTTAACGCGAGATTTCGGAAAGATAATTGCTGTTTATTCACCAAGCATCGTCAGAGATTACGAGATCGCTTTTCGTTTGCCAAAACCCGAAAAATACTTCTACAACGTTCCGCGTCTTTATCTAGTCTTTCTAAACGTCATCAGTTCCGCTAGAATGCAAAAGGATGTTAAAATAAATCGCTACGAACAGGTGAACACATTGCGAAATTTCATCTGACAAGAATATTATATGAGGTAACATCAAGATTAAGTCCAAAACAAACGATCCGCTCGAAGCAAACTCGCTTGATGAATCTTTATTTGAATATAAGCGACGCTCCTTGAGATTCAAGAAAAATCACTTTAGTAACCGAAATAGCGTAAAAAATGAGCGGACACTCCACTTTTGTTGTGATATACGAGACGATTTATTAGCATATAATAAATATAGCTCGATGAAATCTGCCAAAAGTCCGCCAGAGCATCGCTAAATTAGATCACTGATTTTTCGGAAATGTCAAATTCGACGATATGAAAAATCGATTTACAACAAAAAATTTCTCTTCTCGAAATATAAAATATGTACGACTATTCCGTACTATTAAGACGCCACGAGGAAAAAGTTGGGAGATTATTCACTTAATTATCAGGCGACTCTCCTAGGAAATAGTGACTCGCTGAAGGAGGAAGTCGCGTGCGCGGCTGTCACGCTAGCACGTATTTGTTCATGTGCGGCACGTTCGTCGGCATGTGAAGGCATTCGTCACGAAACAACACGGAGCTTTATTAACGCGAACGATGCAACACGATACGAGAGGCTATCGATTAAATGAGAGACGCGAAGAGTCGAGCGAAAGATCGTCGAAGGAGACGAAGATCCAATGGAACGTGATCTGACTCGCTTCCTCAAGGCTTCATATCCTGCAAACGCGCCGTCGTGGTCGACGATCCTGGCACCACTGACTGCCGACGTTACATGACCCCGGACAACCCCGCAACGACTAACCGAACAGCATCGGCGTGCCGATTTTGTATGCGGCACTTGTTGATAAGCGCGAAGAACGGATTGATTAGCGAACGTGCGAAGTTCCACGAGGGTAGTCGACTACTCACGAGGCTCCCTATCGATTGCTGAAAGGGCGCTCTGGTTCAAACTGGTCCACGCTCTTCTCTCATCGCGATTATCCTGGGGGATGCAACCTTTCGAGCTCAGAGTCGATAATGCGAGAAACTTGGTAATTCTGTAATAAATATGCCATATTGTCCAAGCTTTCACGCAATAATTTTGTCATGTGTATATAAATCAAAATCGGGTAATGATTGATAACCTATTTTTCATATAAACCGCAAATACAACGTTATGTAATTATTTATCCCATATGTAAGATATAAAGATTAATTAGAGTATAATATAAATTATTATTAATTACCAGTATTATATAATTACGGTCTCTCGAAGCACGAAGCCGATGTTTGCAGATTCTTTGCTTGTTAACCTGACTTGTTGACGATGAATAGACTTTCGGAACTATCGATAAACTGAATGAAAATTGAATACAAAATATTTCATAATTCAGATATAAATCAGATATCTTTTACGCGACGCGAAATAAAAATAAAATAAGATTAGGATCTAAAATCTCGTATTAAATGTAACATTTAACAATAACGTAATCTGGCATTTATGACAGGTCGTCAGAGAAATATTTATGATGTAAAGTTATTATTGAGAGGGTTAAAAATTTTGAGATATACATTCTGGAAGACAAAATATGAAACAATACTCAATTTTTTATGACGAGATAAAGAATATTCACAAAAGTTTCACACATTTAAATTAAAACGTACTTAGAATTACCAAGAAAAATTCGTTTAGATCGATGCAAATTTGCATCTTAATACAATAGCCTTTTTTTTTATCCATTATTCATTTTTCTGATCAACGACAATTTGTCATAACCGTCAGATTATATTGTCACTATATTTTTGCCCATTCGCCCAGGGACTTTCCGCATTATCGACGATCCTCATCAAGATGTTTGCTATCCGAAATTGCATATTAACGTCATTTAGCGGCCATTGTATATTTATCTGATCAACGATGATCTGATATAAATTTTGACCGCTATCAAGGTGACTGCTGTCCGACGGTTATACATCCACGCAGCTCGAACGTCATATTTCCACGTGCTATGGCGTTAATAACCGTCGATCGAGATTGTGTCGGGCGTGAAGCCAATAAAAAGGGCGACGCGACCCCGACGCGAACATTAGAAATTCAAATTTGACTATGTCGCAAAACATCCGGTCTATTGGCCACACCCTTTATTCATGATTCTAAGCGGGAAATCGTCGATCTTAACCGGTTCGCGCTACTTCATTCCGGAGTATTCAGGCAACTTACGGTACTCCGTTCGCAGTCCTACAACTTCCTCTTCGCGAAGGATGTTTAAGATTACATAGCGATTGTGATATATAAGATACTTTATCGATCGCTGAGAAACTTGCACGATAAGTTTTCGCAAGATTTTATATTTATGGATCTTGTCGAGTCGATCGTAAACACGGAGTTCCTCCGATAGGACGAGCACAAAAGAAGTCGTAGCCAGCGAAAATTGGCCGTCCATCTCCGGCTCTGAATAGATAAGCGCCCTGATCGAAATTTTCCACGCGCTCTTTGGAAATAAAAAAATCAGAAACAGATTAAAAATCTCTTTAAGTCTCCTCTATAAAAACTTTAAAAATGTATATTATAATAATTTAAAAAAAAAATTAATTAATTAAATTTAAAAAAATGGAATAACAATAACAAGTTTAGATACTATACTCGATATGATATGGAATTCATCTGTTGAAGGAGCGTAGGTTCCTATCCTGAAGCCGGTACTGAAGCCGACCGGTCACCTCTCGCCAGCTCTCGTTTGTGAATCGCGCTGCGAGTTCCGCGTTAAAAAAAAGAACAGCGGTACGCCGTATTTTACTACGATCGGCGGAGGAGACGATACACAACGAGCAAATATCCGTAGGAGGCAAAAAAACAAACCGCGGATGATATTTCGACGGGGTGGGGAAAGACCTTGCTCTCCAGGCAGGAATATATAAATCGCAGGTAGGGCTGAAATTCAAGTTAGTACGGATACGTTCTGAGACTATCGGTGACCTGCGGACAAGCGATGATGCGGGTGAGTCTGCCGGCGTGATTCACTCGAAACGAGATTGTTTTGACGTTCTTCATTCATTTGCATATTGCTTATCATCTCTAGTGTTGATTTGACACTCGAATAACAGACACCGGAATGCTTTTTATCTATTTTCTCTCAATGATAGTGTGATTCTTAAATATCTATCTTTTTCTGTGGTTCTATTTTTATTTTTTTTTTATTTTTTATTTAAGATTAAAGGGATTATTTAATTATTATCACAGAATTTATTCTATTTTCTTTCAATGATAGTGTGCTTCTTAAATATCTATCTTTTTCTGTGGTACTATTTTTATTTAAGATCAAAGAGATTATTTTATTATTATCAAAAAATTGCTCTATGCGAATAATGCAAGAAGAGATTAAACTCTTCGATATATCGCAGCTTATTTATATCTCCTAGAAAGCCGCGATATATTTTGATAGAAGATCGTTATCATGTACTACTGCATCGTGATGTTTTCGAGGAAAGTAATTTCATTTAGTTTGCATCTCGCCGATCATTCGCATGCAACTCTCGTGAAACTTTGAAATGGGGTTGTCAGACAACATCATTTCCCCAAAAAGCCGAATATGCGCTGCGCATATTCTTTGTCTATGCTTTTAGGAAATGATAAAATGGTAAACAAGTACATATCCTCCGATGATATCAACTAAGAAAACTAGAATGCACAAACGCTGCTCTTTCTTTCTTTTTCTCTCTGTAATTTAATATTTTTCTTAATCTCTTCCAATTTAAACATAAAAAAATATCCAAAATATTAATGCAATTTACACGATTAATTGTCAATTTTAATATTTTTGCAGGATTTGGCGTCGTTCGTAATTTTCCTCGCTATGATGGTTGGAACAGCGGTATCGAAACCGTTATGGTCGACTATAATCGATAATCATGACGTATATTCCACACCTGAAATCAACGCACAGTATCTCGCTGCGTATCAACATACGCGTTCTCCCTATTATGTTTACAATGTACTACATATACATGTGAAATATTTATATAACAACTGACGTCATCCATGCTATGTTACACATTTTTTTCTGTTTAGATCTATACAAACGCAGGAGGCATACCGAGCACTGTTCATGTCGGCGGTAAACCGGAAATTTCTTATGTTCCTTCTTATAATTTCTATTACGGAACGCCGATTTACGATCTTCGGATTCCATTAAATCCGGTAATTACAGTTTTAGAAAAATCGCTACCGCTACGTATGAATTGTAGTACAGTAATTTATACTATTACAGATTTATCCCATGCTAACGCCATCGCATCCAGGAGTGCTTCCTCCAGCACTTCCACCAACATCCACGCAACAACCTTCCGACGATGATGATTACGACGGCATCGAGAAATTAGATACAAAAGTCGATACAGTCGATACAGAAACAAAGAAACCGGGAAACGACGAGCAGGATGACGATTCCATAACTGTGGAAGCGATATGAGAGAGATTATTTTGCTCGTCACGTACATAGCTCATACAAACGTGGAAGGAATAAAGGTTTAATTATTGAACGATACGTGATCGTGTTTTCTTCCTTATTTCGCCTTCTATATTATATTTACGTTATATTATTTTGCGTGGCGAATTCCAAGACGTTAAAAAATATTTTTTCTCATATATATATGTATATATTACCGTTCAAAAATTTGGAAGCAGTTAAGAATTGTTAATTAAAATTATCAAAAATAAAAAATGTAAAGTTAAAAATTTTATAAGAATAAGATGCGATAATAAATCAAAACTTTAATACGTTTTACTAATGACATCCTGGAATTTTTATCAAACATCCTTTTCCTTTCTGCAAATTTTTTGTAAATTTTTTGTTATTTGTAAAGAGCTGTTTGTGAGAAAATGGAAGGGCTATATTTATAGAACAAGAGAGTCCAATTATGATTCGGTATCACTCTGAAACAGCGGGGTGGTAACGACAATAACTTAAAACCGATAAATGGATTTATCTTCCTCGCAAAGGAACGCCGAGGTCCCTTACCCCGAGAATCCGCGATAGAGCGGAATCAAAGATGACGAGACGTTTTCAGATGCATCAGTGCACCGATCTCCTCGTAGCCGCGCCATTGCATTGACATCGATGACACGAGGATGATCGTTCGTCGTGGAACGCTATGGATGATCGCGGTACTCGTTCTCCTCGCAAGCATATCGGCGTCTGTAAAGCCACGAAGCGGGCCCACGACGAAAGCTCTGCGTCAACAGCTGTCCAGGACCAAACCGGCGCTGGTAAAAGTGATATACAAGAATCGCGAGGATGAGGTCGCATACAGTGCATCATCCAATGGCACGCGTACGCGAATCAGGATTCCGTCGAATTATTTGAGCAGAACGAGAAGAAACTACGTCGGTGATTATACCACGCGAAGAAACGCGAGCGATTATTACGCGGAGCGTAGAGCTGTCATGGAAAGATACTACGCGCGACAGCGTGAGATAAACGCGCGATACGCTAATCGAACGGGCAGCATCTCGGGATCGAAACTTAACGACGTCGCGTCGCAGCATCAGCCGGTGACGAGGAACGCTACTCTCCTTAGTCTCGGACACGAGTATCCCAACAAGGATTCGAAAGATACCGCGACTTTTCGCTATCCGTATATAAGAATCGAGCCGATATACAGCAACGAATCGTGGAACAAGGGGATATCGATCGAACCGGACATTCGACGAGATATCGCGCCGAAGATCAACCTTGGCTTCAAATTCGACGCGAATTTGTCGCAAACGAGAAACAGTAGCATTGAGAGAAACGCTTTGGATTATTATGTCACACCCACACCGTGCACGAACGTGTCGTTGTCTGGTACATTTGAGCCAAAAGCGCGCACCAAACACGCTAAAAATTGCACCCACGAGACAGAACAGAAGTCTAATCGCACGAATAATAACGTAAGTTAAACATCAATAATTTTAACACGTTACTATACAGAATTTTTACAAGCTCTCGATGTTTTGATTTTAATATTTCAACATTTCTACTGATTTTTTAAATATATATAATACTTTATTATGTATTATATATTATATGCGAATTGCACGTTTTATTTTCCAGAATTCCACTGGAAGCGACTATCAAAATTGGGGAACGTGCGAAGGGAAGATCGTGTATCAACATAACTTGCTTCTAGGTTTGAAGGGTCCCTCGAATCTCGATACGCTTTTTGAAGTAATCATTCAAGGTCCTATTTGTATCACTTGTGTGGAAGCGTTGCGATATAACGAAACTAGAGCGATGGTGACATTAGATTCCGGCGGACGTGGTCACGAATATGTGAAAATTAGGCTAAAAGGTTACGAGAATGAAGGATTTTCCTATATAATAAAGGTTTGGGGTGTCAAAAAGATTGATCAGAATTGCGATAATTAGTTGAGATACGAAAAATCCATGATAACAGGCTCATCTCTCGTCAAATAACACTCTACACCAATCATATACGTACGAAACAAATCTTTAATATAAAAAATTATATATTTTTTATAAAAAAAATATGTATATTAATAAGTTGTATATAATGTCGGTAAGATTTAATCTTGTAGCCTTACTGTATGATAATAAGCGAGTACAAATAAAAATCGAAGCACAAATAAAAAGACCAAGCTAAAACATGTACGTAAAATACATCACAAAAAATTCGAAATTTCTCTCTCTCTCTCTTTCTCACTCTATATCTCTTATATAAAAAAGATATTTATGTAAATATATTATAAAAATAATCTCTAATTATTCTATTATTAATTCAACATTAACATAAACAATAATATTAACACAGATAAAATCCTTCAACTCTCGGACAACGTGCGTCATGTGAAAAGATTGGAGATTACTTCAAGATTAATTGCAGTCAAAGTTCAATAGCGTGACTAATGTACTAAATATCAATTGATTGCACAACTACTTCAACGCGACATTCCGCATTAATTATTCTTTAATACGTAACAACAAATACCTCTTTATCTTAGAAAAAAAAAAAAAGATAAAAAAAGGAAGAAAAATGATGATTGTCTAAATATTGACATAGCTAATCGCGTTTATATAATATTCATAAATTTCGCGAGGTTTCTCCCTCTTATCGTCTTATCACGATTCAATTTGGAATATTCTCATCTTTACGGCTCAAGATTTCTTCGGCACGGATGTTGGAAGAGGCGGAGGCGGCACGTTCGGTATTTTCTCTTTATCGTTCCTCGTCCGATCTCTCTTCTCGTCGCCGAAGCTCGGTAACAAATGGCCGGAATCGATGTTCCTCGGCGTAGTCGCCGGGATCGGTTCCAGGGAGCCGTAAGGCTGGTAATCGACGTAATAAGTGCCGGGCACAAGATGCGGATTAAAGCCGTTGTACGTGTAGATGTACGGCTCGTAATAAAGAGACTGATAGTTTGGGTAGAAGCTCAACGGCACTTGCTCATCCTTCTTCGGGGGGTTCTTCGGGGAGTTCTTCGAGGGATCGCTGTTCTTCGGATCGTCTTTCTCGCCATCTTCGTCGCGTTCCTTTCCGACGCCGAAACTGGTCGACTCGGCCAGACGCGAGGATGTCGAGGACGAGGCCTGGTCGTTCCCGGCGACCTTATCGTCGGCGGTACCGAGCGACGGATAACGCACTTCCGGTCCGGCGAAATGAGGCGATATTTGAGTATAATAGAAGGGCGGTACGTAACCGACGGCAGTTCGATGGATGATCGGTTGTATCACCGGAAACGCCCGCGACGGTGACAAATTCTGATTGCTCGTGATCACGGCGTTGTACACTTTTGGCACCCTGAGGAGACCTGGGTCGGCGACCGCCATGGTCATGAACATGCACACGATCAGCAGCTTCATCTAAAAAAAGCGTTTCCATTAATTTTGATAAAATTATTTTAATATCAGCAGAAAGAGTGCAAAATTTTATAATGAAAACTTTACGATAAGAATCTCTTTATGCAAAAAAAGCTGCAGAATTAGAGATCAATGTCTCATTGTTCTCTAATAAAAAAATAATTAAAAATATGCAAATTGAAGAACAATACCAGGAAGAGATAAGCATGTTTCTACAGAGAAATAGCTGATATTATCATCGTTTCTGGAAAGACAGTGCTGGCGCAAGCATCTTGCATGAAACGGCGCATATAAATGACTCGAAACACGCGTGCATAGAATATTACCCCAGTCGTATTCATAGGGCGTGCACTCGGGATCGAGTTATTGCGTCTATAGCGCGGATTCCTATCGTGTTTTAAGTTCAAACTCCCAGAGTAACGGCTATAGTAGTGCATTGTAGTGCATTGTAAGGCCACGGTACGGTATACCAAATGATATTGAATCCATATATATATATTTGTAATCAATATTTTGTAATCAATACAAACGCGAGAATGCGCATAATTTTTAGTGGAAGATGTAAAAAATTAATACTCTGCAAAGATTATTATGTCACACCCACACCGTGCACGAACGTGTCGTTGTCTGGTACATTTGAGCCAAAAGCGCGCACCAAACACGCTAAAAATTGCACCCACGAGACAGAACAGAAGTCTAATCGCACGAATAATAACGTAAGTTAAACATCAATAATTTTAACACGTTACTATACAGAATTTTTACAAGTTCTCGATGTTTTGATTTTAATATTTCAACATTTCTACTGATTTTTTAAATATATATAATACTTTATTATGTATTATATATTATATGCGAATTGCACGTTTTATTTTCCAGAATTCCACTGGAAGCGACTATCAAAATTGGGGAACGTGCGAAGGGAAGATCGTGTATCAACATAACTTGCTTCTAGGTTTGAAGGGTCCCTCGAATCTCGATACGCTTTTTGAAGTAATCATTCAAGGTCCTATTTGTATCACTTGTGTGGAAGCGTTGCGATATAACGAAACTAGAGCGATGGTGACATTAGATTCCGGCGGACGTGGTCACGAATATGTGAAAATTAGGCTAAAAGGTTACGAGAATGAAGGATTTTCCTATATAATAAAGGTTTGGGGTGTCAAAAAGATTGATCAGAATTGCGATAATTAGTTGAGATACGAAAAATCCATGATAACAGGCTCATCTCTCGTCAAATAACACTCTACACCAATCATATACGTACGAAACAAATCTTTAATATAAAAAATTATATATTTTTTATAAAAAAAATATGTATATTAATAAGTTGTATATAATGTCGGTAAGATTTAATCTTGTAGCCTTACTGTATGATAATAAGCGAGTACAAATAAAAATCGAAGCACAAATAAAAAGACCAAGCTAAAACATGTACGTAAAATACATCACAAAAAATTCGAAATTTCTCTCTCTCTCTCTTTCTCACTCTATATGTCAAAAAGAAATATTTCCTCAACTTCTGGTTCTTTTGCCACTTTTTTCATCATAATCGAATCATAGGCGAATAACATATACGCAAATTTATATTAAAAACATATCGAATTAGAAATATATATATGTGTCCTAAAAATAAAATTTTCTTTGCGCAATAAACAGGAAATAGATATCAAACGAATAGAATTGAAAAAAAAAAACAACTGGTGACTTAGTTTATTGATTTCGCGAGCGAGATCACGCGACAACCACGTGGCATTGCACCATGTGAATCATCAATACTTCGCAGCATTATATCGCACGTATCGCTTCCTACCTCTGAGATAAAGTCCACGATTCGCGTTCACCTTCGTCGAAGTTACGAGCGGCGCGGACTACTTAGGCGGAGTGCTCGCTTGTACTCACCTTGCGTCGCGTTATCAGCTTCTCTCCTGCGCGTTTCCCTGTGTACAGCGGGGAGCTCCGAGAAACTGACACCACAAGTAGCAAGAGCACTGCATGAGCCCGTAGTATATATGGCCCATGGGGTTCCAGGGTTCAAGTCCCGGCTCCCCCACTACGGGCGATTCTCGGCGAAAGTACTCTCCGATCAGTACTATAATATCCAACTTCGGAGACCAGCCTATATCACCGGTAGAACTGTAGAAGGACAGCGATTTGCAACGCGTCTCCTTCGACGGTGCATCGAGTGCATTGAACCATCACGAATGATTTCTTTACAAAGATAAGTACGTCCAGGAAAATCGCGTGTCACTTTTAAAGTTATGTAGACACGCGCAGATGATTCGATACTTGAATAATAGACATACTATTCTTATATAATATTGTCAATAAGCCATAATTATAGCCGTAATTATGTGTGTCTTATGCGTTAATACTTTTGATCTCGAATGTATCGTACGCTAAAAATTATAGGAAGAATAAAGCCTAATTTTTTCATATACATTACATATCGCACGAGTAAAATTTTAAAAATTGTAGTGTGACAGATTATAACGGTATTACATATGTCGGTACGAAATTTACATAATGTCAAATAATATGAAATTTATCAATCAATCATTATCGATCAAATTTGAGCATGTGCAAGCAAAAAAATAAGAGCCTTATATCTTATCCTATATATGGATAATTGTCAATCATTCCTAACACGCGGATCCGAGCTGTTATCCTAGCGACGAAGCGTTCGACCGGAGAACAAGGTGACACATATTAATCATCAGCCTTTCCAGCTGACATTCGCGCACTCTGTCACTTATAAATCCATAAATAATCCGATAATAAAATGCATCAATCTCGCCAGGAAAGCAGAGTGGTTCGCCTTGATATTTCGTTTTTTGAATTCACTTTCCAACTACGGATATTTAATTGCTATGCGCACTTGGCTTTGATGTAAGGTAAAATATACGCACACACAGCGCAAGATATATAATATAAATTGATATTTAAAAATGTTTGCGAAAATTATTGCGTATTGTCTCTCTCTCCCGGCACAGCGTGTAATGCTAATTTTTATTGCATTGTAGCTTTATACAATACTGTTTACGCTAACGAAATTTAATTCTGCTTAAAACATTTTCGATCGAATACTAATGTGTATGTGTGTGTGTATCCTCGAATAAAATTCCGCAATTGTTATTTCTCTCGTTTATGTATAATGAATATATTCCGTTACGTATTTACGTATGCGAAAGGCGAATGGGAGACAAAACGCCGGCGATTGCGAAAGAATTTTTGCGTAAATCGCGCAATAAGAGAATTCAGAATTCCACGCGCGCGTGTTCGACAGGTGGGGCAGAAAAAAGCGTCTCTCATTCGAATTCAGCGACATCGTATTATAGTTCGGTAAATCGATACATTTGAGAATCAACATACACACGTGGAAGTAACAGGGTCACTGGTCCAGCGCATAGCGGTGACGCACTTCGCATTACTCGCAGCTTAACGAACGCACTACAATATACAATAACAAGGTATTTTTACATCTGATTTCGACGTCGAATCCGCGATCATAAGCAAAGGAACTTGATTCATATCAGCAATACCGTAACATGCATATCATGAATATTTTTAGCCATAATAATCAGCACATATACATTCTTCGCGCTTAAAAATGACGCTACGAACGACTTAAATCTAAACGGCTCGAATTGTTTATATTACTTAATTTGATTATATTCTCGACAGTATTACTGTAAGCGATAATATAAAAAGTATATCGTATCGTAAACGTGATATGTCGATCGATCTCGGTCAGATCGACTCGATCGGTATGTAACAGATTCTCCGCAGCAGCAGAATCGGGAAATTTGGGAGGAAGACGACCATCAGCAGCACCAAGGGCGACAGTAGCAGTAGAATGTTGGCGTACACCACCAACCACCAGATCGACAACGTTCCCAGAACCGGCTCTAGCATTATGATCCTCCGCCGGTCAAGAGATTGAATGTATGAAAACACGAGTGGGAGCGAGGCACTCGCGAGTCTTCCGAGATATCCGGTTTTGAGAAAATAAAACACTTCCCGACCATGGTCGTTAGGTGTGATGCGCGAGCTGAAAGCATAAAAAACAATTTCTTTAATAGTCTTTTCGATGATAGACACTGTAAAAAAAGGGACAATCGAGAATTCAAATAAAGAAATATTAAAAAAAGCGTAATGTAACATTGCTCATCTTTCGTTGCTAATGTCTCGTATAAATTCCAAGGTAAACGTATAAATAACGGTTACGATGTTACATAATGCCTATGATGTGTTTATATTTTCAAAATATTAAAGCGACCATTAATTAAAACGCGTCTATGTACATTTGTAATGTAAATTTTGCGCGGCATTGCCGCACAAAAACATTACGAGTTATCTAATTAAATAGAAGTAGAAAATGATGTGCCAGCTAATAATGATTATGTCAATCCTGAGAATGCACTACTTATCGATTGCTGATTATGCAACAAAGTTGTAATAATTACGTAACAGCGATGTACTAAAGCCACTCAACAAAATGTTTAAAAGTGCTAATTCTGCAGTAACCTTGTGCTAAAATCTTTTTCAAACAGAATGAAGTATAATATAATAATCTATTGGTATATTTCTCTGTTTTTTAATTTTTTCATCTCAAATAAAAGCAACGAATATCAAATAGGTAAGTCAACAACATTAATGCGTCTTGAAGAGTTATCGTATAATGTTCCCTAGAGAGTACAATATATTTTTTGACTATTCTATTTAGCGTCAAATATATTATTTTGATGATATTCTTACAAAATTATCTATGAATCTTCGTAGAATATTCTCGTGTTAAAAAAATCTTTTATAAATCTTCTTAGAACATCGTATTTAGAACGGTCTCATTTTGAAGTTATATGCAGATTCATAAATCGTTTTTTTCACTTTATTAGAATATTCAAATATTTACTGAAGGATATTTATAAAATGTTTATAGAATAGATTTGTGCTATCTGTGTCCTATAATAAATTCAATAAAATCACATAGATTAGTTCGTGAGAGAGATTGCTCTTTTCTCGTGAGTTTGCGCGACCCCTTTATATTCCTTTCTTTCTCTCTCTTATTTAAATCAAATATACTATTTTGAGGATATTACAGAATTATCTATGAATCTTCGGAGAATATTCTCGTGTTAAAAGAATATTTTATGAATTTTCTTAGAATATTGTATTTAAAACGATCTCATTTTGAAGTTCTATGCAAATTTATAGATCATTTTTTTTCACTTTATTAGAATATTCAAATATTCACTGAAGAATAATTGTAGGAAGGGTAAAATAATTTATAGAATAGATTTGTGCTATCTGGGTCTTAATAAACTCAACGAAATCACGTATACTGATTCGTGAGAGAGAGATCTGCTCTTTTCTCGCAAGTTTGTGCGACCTCCATATTCCTTTCTTTTCCTCTCTTATTCTGTCGAAACTACACGATTGTCCTTGTATCGAAGATAGTGTGGTAGATTCATCTCATGACAGGAATGTTGTACAAATTTGCGTAACAACGTGACATCAAAGAAGGCAAAACTATGTTGAAAAAAAGAGAAAGAGAAAGAGAGAAAGTAAAAATGAAGAGAATGGGAAAATATTAGATGTGAAAAATGATTCCAATCTCTGCGACGTACGTACGTAATATTGCAAGAATGGTCGCTCGCATATGCTCGACTCGACGTATTGCATCGAGAAAAGTGAAATTTTCACGATTGCATAAGAGCCGTATAATACTAGTATTCAACGCAGCGTCATCATATAACGCAATCTAAATGCACAACGTAATGTCAATGATCAAGCGTAACGAGATAAGTAGCCTGCTTCTTGCGCAGTTAATCGTAAATTTACGTAAACTTGCCACTTCTTCGGAAAAAACTAGAGCGTTTATTAACGTTCGAGTAATTATATCATTTCGTCTGTTAATGTATATTTAATTCAATGACAGCTATTAAGTAAAAAGGACATTGTTCTCTATACTCTAATCATTATATTATCTATTATTGTTTATATATATATATATATTATCCATCATAAAATTGTATTAAACAAAATAAAAAAATTATAAAATAATATTAACTAATAGCAAATTTATTTTTCTGCGAAGAAGAGCGTGTTTATAAATATTAGATTACATCACAGATGTGGAGTAACATTCCTACTGCCATCAAGCGGTTACGTCAAATCTCCTTTTACTTGCCTCGAGTCTGTCATAAGACTGTATGTGTTACCTGGTGGAAATTGGAAATGATATAATTTCGCGTAGTAAGAACAATCGCACAATCGTTACAAAAGCGATCTACGTTTATTCGCGACAATGTATACGTGGCAATTGACGCAAATAGTATTCGTGAATCGAAAATACACAAATAAAGACAAATATATCTAGAAAGAATCTGGAGATCACGCTTAACAATATTATCAAAAATTCAACTTTATTTAACAAATCCTTTCCCCTTAATTAAGACGAAGAAAAAAATTATAATTAACCGCGGGATCAACCGGCGGTGGAATGCAACACCAGACGTACGCGATAAGTGCTTTTACGCACCTCCACCCTACCTTCCGCTATCACGACGGCTTCACGACACTCGCAGCAGGCTGCATCGCGTCATCAGGACCCGTCGAGATAAAGCGCTTTATCCTTTCGCGTCGCGACGCATCTTCGCTGACGCGCCAAACATGAACTGGACATGAACAAGCGCCGCGTGCCGTCGCCAATTCCTTGGCATACGCACGCACGCACGCATGCACGCACTCTCGGTTTTTTTTTCTTTATTTTATTTCGCGAAGCGTGGCTGCGAATCACAGCTGACTTGCGGCTGATCCGCGCGCGACACGAGCAGACGCGCGCTCGCTTTACGTGGACTGAGAGCGTTAAAGTTCGCGGACGGTCTCCGGGCGGACTTTCCCTTTCCTTCGGTTCTTTTAAGACCGGCAACGGCGGTGTGTAATACCGGGACAGCCGCCGCATTAAATCACCCGGTTACTTACACACGCGCACGTGTGCGTCGCGTGTGCGTCAACCCGATGGCATTGACGGGTTTCCGCGCGGGCCCGTTTCTTCGGCTCTCTTGCTCAACGAAGACGCGAACAAAGAACCTGGCCAGCTGGCAGGGAGTGGCATTTAGAGCGGCGTGGACTAACGCGCGCTCGTAAACATTGAATAAAGAAATATGTTTGATATGGGCAACGAGCGGAAAATTTCATTAAATTTTTTATTTGTTTTCCCCCGCGTAAATACGATCGATTATTTCTAATAACATAGCGGGGGAAGAAAAAATAAAAAGGTGTTATGAAAGGAATCGCTTTTCGGATCTCCCGTAATTGCGGTCAAAGCCCATTCGGATTTGTGTCTATGTTAAATTCCCAAATCTGAATGTCATTCTCCACATATGAAATTTTTAATTTTTATATTTATAAAATATTCGGAAAAGGAAAGAGAGGGGGGGAAATTATTTTTATATATCTAGATGAAGATTGATTGGTCCCCGGTGGCTCAGTGTGTAGCGCGCCTGACTCACATTCCGGAGGTCTCGGGTTCGATTCCCGACTCGACCCTGGCCCGCGCTTTCCATTTTTCCCTTTTCCTACCACCTCTAAATTCCTAGCTACTGAAGATCCAATCATCTACATAGCGAAAACTCCCTGATTCAAGAAACAAAAGCACAGCCTTCGAGGAGGCTGTGTAGACGCCCCCTATGTTCCCAAAGGGAATGAAATAAGAAGGAAAAAAAAGATGAAGATTGAATAATGCAATTTTCTTGGCAGCATTCATTAGAAAATCGTTTGATATATAAAAAAGGGTGCATCTCGCGCTCTCATTTCTAAAAATTACCAATCTCTGAATCTTCGGATTCCAAATATTATATTTTTCCACCAAGTTTGTCGAGAATATTCTAGATTCGAGAAATATAAAAAGAATGGAAATTGCACGACTCATTTATGCCATGATTGTTTCTAAATTTACATCTCGCTCCGATTTGCACGTTTATGCGCGTGCGAGCATTATATGCGAAGATAAATCCAAGACATGTACTATGCACGTATGTAATTATCGCCTGATGGAATACCAACAGGTATATAATGACTGTTTGATGACTAGCGCGGAGAAAACTCCGAGGAAAGATATATGTCAAAAGAATCCAATTATATATGTGTTTTAGCCGACAATACCCGATATCGTGCGTTATAAATAGAAGTCGTAAACGGACTCACGACGGGAAGACACGTGCGCATTCATTTGCGTATCTCGGGATATGAACACATCGAGCGATTTAACTGGCCACGTGTTCGCTTCTCCGACGAGAGAGAGAGAGAGAGAGAGCGAGGTTCATCGCTCTTGTACAAAGATGACCTTCGGATGTGAATTTACTTATTTGCTGAAGAAGCGCATAGTAATTGGACGCGCGTAGCGCTTCGGCAATATAGTATATGTCAGATTCATGCGCGTATGACTCACAGATGGTACACGAGAGTAAATTCTTAGGAAAAACATCCACGAGTCGTATCCGAAGACTTTATTATCTTAGAAACGACACCGCATCATTCGATGTCTCCCTTAATACATATTTATTCCACTTTATAGACTCGGTTATGTCGTATATTTTTATTTCAGTCAGTTATTTTTTCAGAATAAGTTCTTTGTTTAATTTTATCGTAATTTATTTACTCTCTTTTTACAGAGAGAGATAGAGAAAAAAAAATGTATGTGTGTATATATATATATGACAAAACGTATAAGTATAAAATAAATTTCATAGAAGCACTTCTCTTATTTTTTCTCTCCTGGAATAAAAAAATCTTTAAATACAAGATATTTTCATGAAATAATAATTAATCAATTCTTATGCATGAGTCAATCAATAAATTGATTTGAAATTATTAATTTCGAAAAACATCATCTAATATCTGACTGTGACTCGGTCTTGATGACGCTTGGCTAGGATGCTCTCTCGATTCATTGATCCGTCATTGATTCATTCATTAATCATAATTAGCTTACTCCGCATTACGAGCGTGATGCAAAGTAAACTGCAGCTTCTGCAGAATTCATATTATTGATACAATTCAGAGTTTATCTTCGACCGTGCACTGTCCTCTATGTGAAAATATTCAAATTACAAAAGTAAAAGGAATATCGGTACAATCATGTTGCAACATTATTGACACGTACCAATTGCTGCAATGAATAAATTCACCATTCAAACATATCTAGAGTTATAATAAGGCTGGCATTATACTTGTACATACTGATATAACTCTGATTAAATTTTTAATTAAATATCTTTTTACTTCTTCTCCCGCTCGCTCTCTCTCTTACGTTCTTTTATCAGCTGATTTTAATAAGAAACGATTTTACCGACATGTGTGAATGTGTTGATAAAATATTTAATATATAATGTGGCATCCTACGTATGTGTGCAGCTCGGTTTTATATAAATGCAAATTGATTATCAAAAATACATAAAAGTTGCTTCTCGATTTTATTAAGATATTATTTAATCATTTATCATTTGTGATATATATTGCACTTATAGTATCTCTGAAACTTTCTGAAACTTGAACTTCTCACATAACGAAAAGAGAAGAAACGCAACACATCAATTAATATGGACTATCATTTAGTTGTAACAATTTAGGTTAGGTTTAATCTTTCTTACATCTACGTTGTAGATTATGTAGATCAATAATTCTAAAAAAAAAAAAAAAAAAAAAAAAAAAAAACACAAAAGAAAATGCTATATAAATTAATGTTTTCTCACTTTAACGAAATTACTATTTTTGATTATATAAATATAAAACAGCTCTTGTTTAATTTTCTAAAAAAATTTTGTCGCATTATAGATTATGTTCTCTCAACACATTAAGCGATGCATTTACATCTGTCAGATATTCGCCACAAGTGGTTGCATTGTTTGCAGCGAAATTAACATACGATTTGCTAATCACAGTTACGAACATAAATTGTGACATGTGACGACAGCGATACCGGTTATATCGAAACATGTTCGATAACATTAAAAGGCGAGACTATTATTTGAAAGATTACGCGTGATTTAATTGTATTGGTGAGATAAGATCTCTTATCATGATAAAGTACTATGGCTAATCTATTGCAATCTTATCAAGCGTAATACGATAAATATTTTGATATTTATTATAATTAAAATATTTAAAAATTTTTCAAGTATACCTCTAGGTGCCATTTTGATACCCCATAAACCTTTTAATTCGTTCAATAAAAAAAAAAAAAAAAAAAAAAAAACAGAGCCCACACAACGAATGATTATTCAGGAAGATTTCAACATCCGAGTTAGGTTAACCTAAACTACCTATGCAAAGAAGTCTTAAATGCTGTTTCGATAATTTTTACATTGATGTTTTTAGAATGTATAAGATAGAAGTTTGATCTCTGGCACTATATAAGAACGAACAGAAGTTGACACAAAATATAAGAATGATATAAACATTTGTACACTATTCCAAGGGTCTTTCGTGATCTTAATCTGATCCATAAAGAAAATGCGTCAAAAATCTTTTACTCAAATCTTGGGAAAGTGAATTTGAAGAAACGAGAAGCTATTTTCGTTACAGCCTCTTCTCGAAAAAGATTACGTACCGCATGACGTTTTGTTTATTACTTTCGCTGCCTTTTTTTATTCTTGTCGTCGTATAAAACTGCTCGTTATATCAGCCACTTATTACATTTAACGGTGCATGTGCAGTTTACTTTTTAAGCTTTCTTAGCGTGTTATTGATATCATGAATGATGAGAAATTTATTTAAAAGAGAAAACTATCTGCGTATTTACTACTCGATTCCCCAGTGCATTGTTTAACTTATAGGTACATGCGTAGCTGAATACAATTCCGAGAGAATTTTAAGAAAATTTTTCTAATTGTCGAAAGATTTAAGATAATTATAGAAAAAATAATGCTGTCGATATTTGAGTGAATATTTGCAAGTATTTTTCCAATATACGATTTATATCGAGCAATTAAATCATGTTTCTGTATGAGAGAAAATATTATTTAATAAATATAATATTTATATAAGAATATGGAAATATTAGATACAAACAGGAAGATAGTAAAATACAAAAAGCAAAGAATATGTATGTAACGTATAAGATCATAAAATACAATATCATTTAAGACTTTCCGTGCTCGTGTAAAATAAGTTAATGGTTAATTGGATACGTGGATACTTACGTATTATCTATTGCCAGCGATATCAAGTAATCAACAAGTTCCAACATGTCCATTACTTGCAATTACCTTGAATGTCTGGGTACCCCGGGTTTTCGTATTTCGGAGACTAGAGGCATCCAAATAGTACATCTGAAATACTAAGAAATATAATAATAAATTTCATAATTGTAACTAAATGTCTAATCCGTACATTATTTAAAAGCGAAGAAGTTTAATCGAAAGTTAAAAATGCGTAGTTTTTTATTTTTTTAAGGCTACTTGATTATGGTTGAGAAATCCTAAATGAAATTGTTTTATAAATATTCATATACAAGCTGAAACTCTTCATTAATCATCGAACTGCCCCCCCACTTCAGAATATAAAATTATTAATTTTAACTTGATTCTTTTTTAAAACTTGCGCGAATCAGATAATTGATATAATAGTATAGTTTCAATCATTACTAATTGACAAAATTTAGTTTTTTTCAAAATAGTAATATTTCTTGATATTTTCCTAAAAAAATATTTAATATATTTAATATTTTTCCAAAATTTGGTTCGAAAGGAAGGGAAAATTAAGGTTATAATAGATATATAGTGAGGTTCGTTTCAACGTATGATTGTTTGGGGCCCTGAAAAGGGCCAGTTTGTATCAGAAGCAGAATCAGAAAATTATTTCTTCGCTGCCTTAGCACTCTTGGTAGCTGCTGCCTTGGTGGTTTTCGGCTTGGGGGTCTTTGTCTTGGCGGCCGGGGCTTTGGTAGCCTTCTTGGTCTTGGATAGATTTTTCGTCTGAGCGGCGGCCTTTTGCTTCGCCGCGGCTTCTACCTTCTTCGCCGCCGCTGTTTTGGCGGTCTTCTTCGGCGCTGCCGGCTTCTTCTCGGCCGCTTTCTTAGCCTCGGTCACTTTTCTCGCAGCGGGCGCCTTCTTCGCGACCTTCTTCTCGGCGACCTTCTTGGTGGCCGTGCTTCGTTCCTTGACAACGCGCTTCACCACCTTACTCTTGGGACTGGGCTTAGCGGTCGCGAGCTTAAACGAGCCCGATGCGCCCTTTCCCTTGGTTTGCACCACGGCGCCGGACGTAACCGCCGCCTTCAGATATCTCTTGATGAAGGGGGCGAACTTCTCGCCGTCGACCTTGTAAGTCGTGACGATGTACTTCTTGATGGCCAGCACGGATGAGCCCTTGCGATCTTTCAGCTCCTTGATGGCGGCCGTGACCATCTCCGCGGTCGGCGGATGCGTCGACTTCGGACGCTGAGCCTTCGCCGCTTTAGATTTGGCAGCTTTCTTCGCTGCTGGAGTAGAGGCTGCGTTTTCTACAGCTGCGGTATTACCGGATGCGTTCTTATCCTCCATGGCGATATATGCGAGAGATTGTACAACGTTCGTAGACGAAGAGTACAAATATAAACTTTCGTTCTAAACGCTCACAGATGACGCTATTCACGAACTGCCGTTCGACGCGCTACTTGTACTGTGAGCGCGGACCATGGAGAGAGGCCCTCCCAATGTTGCGAGTAACATGCCGCTGGGAATGAAAGAGCCCCCGGTAATTGTTCGTTGTTTAAACAATATTTTGCACAATGAAGGTTGTTTAGTCGGTGTACAGAAACGTAGAAGCGAGTAGCTAGTTTCGTTTCATGCGCGTTTCCATTGCCTTCCGTGCGATATACATCGATTTTTATCCGGTTCCGTGCGACGCGAGCAGCTGATCCATTCGGGAGAGTCGATTCAACTCGCCAAATAAGTTAATAAACAATACAATTATCGATGCACGACGCGTTTATGCGGTTCATGAAACGTCGTGATAGCTGTGCTAACTGATCGAAATTGTTTACATCGGACGTGATACCAGATTCACCCTGAATATTCCAACTTTCGTGGGTGGCAGAATACAAGCGTTAGCGCAACACAATGTGAATACCGATTACAAAGTACATTTGCAGACAATTTTATGGAATAGTGTAAAATGTCATTATCGATCGGGAGGAGTGCAGATATCATTACGTTGTAATATTATATGCAAAATCGTGAAATTTCCTCGAAAAAAACTATATATGCGCGAGACGATCCCTTGTAAAACGTCGATTGCATCCGTGCAGTTAAACGCAGTTGCTGTCATAATAAACCATCTAAGGGACAAGATAACGAAATAAATATATAGCGAGTCGTATTAATGAAAAATAATATTCGATAAAATACGAACGATCATGATATAACTATTTTCTTAAAATTCCTAAACCTGGATTGAAATTAATGCCAGGATTCACTTCTGATCCTCGAATCCGTCTCGACCGAGAGAACGTAAAATCCGAACCGCGATTGAAAAATTGTCGGTTTCATAAATGATGGATTCTTTTACCTCCTAAAACTGCCGATCGACAGTGTGTAATTCGATTCATGTTCTTAAAATCCGTCGACAAAATTGAAAGCGAAAAATATTATCTCTAATACTAGATTTTTATGTCGGAGCGACGTTTTAAAGATTTATCTGTAACCTGTCAGTCAAATGTTTCTCTTTGCAACGGCATAATTTAATTGAACATTTTCAAAATAATGTTTTACGGATATGTTTGTATTTGAAAGTATTTTTTCATTGTTTTTGTACAATGAAAATTTAATTAATCTCTATATATACACAAATTATGCATATCACTTAAAAGCCATTTTTGCTTTAAAATTAACGGAAGACTCATAGTCGCGCGAAAGGCACTTAACTGAGATGCGCGATGTTTTATATCTATTTATGAATAATTTAAACTTTATCATAAAACTAGGAAAATTCGTTTTCAAAGAAAGTACGCCACCTAATTCCGCCTTATCTTACTACTATGTTATCTTTACTATGTTTTAACGTTGTTTGTTGGTCTGGAATAACTTATCATTTTATCATTCTCTTATAAATAATTAATGTAATTTTGGGAATAAGGAGGTTTCTGTGCCACTTTCCAATTTTATCCAATATTTCAATATACAATCGTAAAATATATATATATAATTTTTTA